ATATAAGCTGTAAACAGGATAACTGATCTATCAGACTGTATATAAGCTGTAAACAGGATAACTGATCTATCAGACTGTAAACAGGATAACTGATCTGTCAGACTGTATATAAGCTGTAAACAGGATAACTGATCTATCAGCAGTGTAAAACAAATCAAAGAAATCTCATATTAGGTTGTATTTTCTTTTACAACATTTGATTTTAAGAAGCCATAATGCTCTTGTGAGTTACAGACTAGTTTAAAAAGTCACAGAAAATGATTATCCCAAAAATAGCTTAAACCAGGGCAGCACTGTCACGTGTCCCCACTCAATCAACAGACAAATGCTGTCTATACATTGCCTATAGTATGAGATTGTCTGTGTGTGTGTTTTTTTTTGGGGGGGGGGGTCATGTATATGTTACATTGTGGGAACATTTGACAAAAACCTGCTATTTTGACGTTGTGGGGACCATTTTTATGATTCCCACCAGAGGAAACTCAATTTATCAAAGTATCACTGTAGACCACTTTTCAAGTATAAATACCTTCCTTCTTGGTTTATATTTAAGGTATTGTTGAAGGTTCATACCCATAGATTAGTATGGCCTGTCATTCTGAAACTCAAGCAGGTCCCCTTACATGTTACAGATGTTGCCTCTGTTTGATTTACTTCATACACGACATTTAGAATCCATTTCGGTGAAGCCATTCCCTCACTGTGCCGGAGGATACAGGGACATCGTTTATAGTTTCATGTTCATTTGTTCGCATTGCATGGTTTTCCGATTTGCATCGATCATCACATAAAACGAAACTTTGTCGTCTATGTTTTAGTATACAATTAATTAAAAATTGGGGGAAAAATTGAATTTGGAACATCTTATTTACAGCTAAATCCCGACATTCTTTCGGTAGCCTATATGAAGAATACTATTAGCAACTGCCCACAATCCCAAGATTTAATGACCTGAATCATTAACTCGATACTGCATTATTTTACAGAATGATTTTTCGATTAATAATTTTAATTACAAATTACATTCAGTTACAAATTACATTCACCCCAATGAATATTTTTTTTTAATTTGTAACGATTATGGTGCTGTCTTGTGTTCAAACCGCACTGTGGAAGGATCTGAACTCCGCTTTGCACCACATCCCCCGCTAGTACGACTTGCCAGTTTAAGTAACAGCTCTGTGTTTATCTGTACATGTTATAAACCTTGGCTAAATTTGCACTGTCCAGAAAACTAAACACGTCCTGCGGTATGTTCTGTTCGAATTTCCACAACGAGTTTATTAAAGTAGCTATGCTAGAATACACGATCGTTAAAGTGGATGTTGCGAGTAGTCTGCACAATGTTTTCCAAATTTCTTCAGAAACTTGCGACCACTATTTAATGCATCATGATAGGGTATAAACAGATAGACCTAAGTCAATTTGCTAGAAAAGTGGAAATAAAAATGCCATCGCTTCATGCCCAGTATCGCCATACCACCCCAGTATTATATGAACAGTTAACCGCTGAACTCACCACCACCGGCCGCTACTGACGTCCGCCCCGGTGCCAGCGAGCGCCGCTGCCAAGAGCAGACAGGCTGCCTTCGCCCCCATCAGCAGCACTATGGTCCGCATGGTGCAGTCAGTGAGGCAGCTGAACACGGCCTTCGGCACCAAAATGCACTAAAATGTCACCCCACCATGTGTCAGAGTTATAACCAACTTCGCAAAAGGCGCGTAATTTAGAATTGAATAGTCCACAGTAGAATAGTTATAGACTATTTTTTCCCGAACATCTCTTCTTGGTGCTCTCATAAAAACATATGTACACTAAATAACTTTTTTGCCTTTGAGGTACGCTGAAGTTTGGACAATATGCTTACTGTAGAACTGACTAGGAAGCCCATTTGAGATTTCAAAATAATTTGATCTGATTTGAAACTTTATTCTGTATCGCCAGGAAGATGTCAATATAGAGCTTTAGTTTTCATGTTGATCCGTGTTTAGACTTTTCCGCGAATTAGCCTACAAACTTCGCGAACAGAAAAAATAGGCTACATACATATAAATAAACAGAAAAGGCAAATAAGTTGTATTTCCAGTAAATTCAGTGGCGGGTGATATGTACTTGAGTTTGCCATTGAGAATCGCTTTGCCCAGAGGCGGACGCGGTCTGAAAAAGACTCATTTATAGAGTTCAGCGAGAGAAATCAAAAAGGGATTTATTGCTCTTTTCCAAAATTCCATTTAAATCAATGGGAGGGATATTTCACTGCAAAGCGCGTAAGGTACCAAGAATGACGCAAACTGCTGGGAAAACTGTACAATTAACCCATCTGGTAGATATGAACAGAGTAGAAGATGCGCTGGGGAGAGTAGCAAAGATCAGTGCGGTTCGTTTAACTCCACATGCCACTACTCCACCGACTGATATTCCCAGTTAGATTCACGATGCTTGGTTCCCATTTCGGCACTTGTCTTAAGTTAAAATAACAGTGGGTTTCCCAGGCAGAAAGTATCACCAAAGCCGTGCGCAAAGATACCGATCCGAAGCCGAACCGCGGCACACAGTGGTCCCTACACCCAACATCTTCATTACGCTGCTTCTCGAATCTGCACCGCTTCATAATTTATGCGCCTTATCCTTTCAAATAGCGGCTTGCCAGCCAATAGCGAAAGCGTTTCCCGTTACACATATTCTTCTGTTAACTCTTGATATAACATCCAAGACAACGACTTCATTAAAAAGGATAAATTAAGGCGACCAGCATCGTGCGAAACGTACGGGTGCGCAAAATCGCGTACTCCATAGTGCGTAATTTTCCCCGAAGCCCACAAAAGTGCTAGGTGAATACCACAAAAAGTAAATGTGAAGATGTTTTTTTTACATTGGGTTTACTGAATATATGACAGAGCAACGCTTTTAATTAGTTGGCCAGAATTTCAGAGACATTTAAAAGACAACTGCGGAACGCTGGAGTGTGGCAGGTGTATAGTAAAACTTTTCAGATGAGACATCTTGCTCAACATCAGTGTGACGTGGATTTCCGGAATAAATCCTCTGTTCTCTAAGCAGAGGTGTTCGTGACGTGTTGTTATAACAGAAAGGAGCAGCCTATTCTGTTTCCAAAAAAGCTCAAGTATCCCTTTAATTTAAAACTTAATATATGAACTACATATATAAGCCATCATATATCATAAATGAGTTCCTTCAGCCCTCTCGTCGAAATCAACAGCAATGGATGCATTCATTTTTAATGTAAAAGATTTGCATTAAACCATATATTTAACATGACTTAATCTGTTTAAACTGTTAAATGACACAATATGGTTTATAAACCATATTTTTGAAAGCCACAAAAAGGCATTTCATTTCCTAAAATAATTACACAGTGGTGAGTGTGATTCCCCACGACCAGGATGAGTAGCTGGAAGATGGCAGGATGGATGGATGGCTTATTTAATATATATATATATATATTTTAAATGAAGTACTTGATTGATCCATATTTATTTTGATGAATACTAGTTTGGACTATTGCCCACATCTCCAAATGAACTGATGGAGTTTTGATTAAAGTTTAAAATTTTCTGCATGCAAGCAAGCATAGCTATAACAACTGAAAGAATGCGTAGCCTACAGTATAACATACTGTAGCAATCTCAGCAGCCTAGTGCAGGGGTCGGTTGGTGGTGTGGTCAGGGCCGCTGGCATGAGTAACTCGCCACGGACTGTCCCCTGTGGATTGCCTACAATATGTTATTTGCAGCTTCTGTGTCATTATTTCAGAAGAGCCCAGTAAAACCTCATTAATAAAAAGGCCACTTGGAACAGAAAGCAGCAAATGCAGGAGGTCCGGGACGGGAGCGGAAACCGGAATCTCAGAGAAGGAAGCCATGTCTTTTTCCTGGGGTTTCATTCTCCAGTCTTCCTCATGTGTAAAACGAGCTTCCTAGGCTGACGCCGTCCAACACAGAGGAGCCTGTGGCACGCAAATCCTCGCCTCTCGTACATAAATGTGCCCAGAATCATTCTGCCAGCGCCTGAGCTCCGCACCTCCACACCAATGTCATTTTTTTGATGAAGACTTAAGGCCAGTTTCATCAACAGATAAAGCAGGCCTCGTTTGTCGATGTGCGAGACTGTCGCTGCAGACACGGGGATGATGCATTTACTCTGGCAAAGTTGCCCTAGATGTTCCGGAAACCCTCCAATTCCTCTCATTATCTCTTTCTCAGACAGCTCCGTTCAGTAAGGTGACACACGACAAAGATACCCCCCTCACAACCCCCAGTGAGAGAAAAAACAGATGAGCAATAAAACAAAAGCCGCATGGTGGGGAGACACAGAGGCACAGGTGAAGAAAAAGGGTGGGGGGGGGGCAGTGCTGCCAAAACCATTTGAAATGTTCAAGGTGCAGGCGCACAAATAAACAAATTATTTACAGAGATCTGAAATAAGGTTTATATCTGCAAGAAAACACTTCCATGTTTTATCATTGATGACTTATGAGTAAAGCTGACTACATTACATATGTGGATTCATAAACATTCATAAACATTTACTCAATTCATTTTACTGAGGGTCTTTTTGAACAGTTGCACAAATTTATGACACCAACCCCTCAGCCCCCTCACTCAAAAGTCAAGTTCTACTCAAAGCCACATTTCTAATAATGATGCACAAAGAAGAAAAAAGAACGACGGAATAATCTTAAAATAATATAACGTATTTTAGACAAAGATATTGAAAAAGCTCCCCCATGTGGCAGAAATTTTAACTAGCCAGCTATTGTGACCAAATTGAGTTTTGTGACGGTCACAGCAGTGGTGACACAGGGGACATTTTTTTGTCTACAAATTAAAAAAACAATGTTTTTATTGTGTGTGATTCAACACATCTGTTTAGCTGGAATGTGTGAGTGTGGATTTGTATATGCGGTGCACACATGTGGCCTCATTTCAAAGCAGGAACGCATCTCTCAGATGACACAGAGGCTACATGAGTGTCTCATCGCCCTCAACCCCCAACCTGCGCACTGCTTGAGGCTGAATCCCAATTTCATTATGTGCTTTATACCCTGGCAGGAGCATTGGGCTGCTGAACTTGCCACATTTGTCACCCACTAAGCTGCTCTGGGGCTGAGTTCCAACATCTAGGGTGTCCTTTGCTTAAAGGTCAACAGCGTGTCCTCAATCAGACATCGTTAGGCTAATACTGCAGGGAGGAAAGCGCATTCTGAACTAAGGCTCGAGTTATTCTAAGGGCTTATTATGTGGGAAACCCAACAAAACAGGAGTGAGGAGGTTTACAAAGACAAGGACTGGAAAATAAGAACAAGGGGCACTGAAGCACAGCTTTAAATAAACACCTCAGTCTTGGCAGAGATCTGTTCAGGGCTCAGAGGTCGCAGCAAGCGGAGGCGGGGCTTAAGTAGGCCAACCCAAGTGGGGATAGTCATCCAGTGACTGACAGTGTGGCCTTTGCTACACTGCAGTAGCAGGTCAGCCCACACTACACAGCTGTGACAGATGTGCAGAACATTGGCAGGCACTGAAATCAGGCCATAAGAGCAATTTCTTCTCTAGTATATATATATATATATATATATATATATAACGGTTTATCAAATTAATGGGGGGAAGAAATTCATCCTCCAAGTGCCGTGTTTTTTTACAACTTCATATAAGTCTGGTGTTGCGACCTGAGATCTCAGGAAAAAATGTAGAATCTGACGGGCAGCTAAATATACCAACTCCTCCTCATGAGAGCCCAAGAGGTCTGTGAGAAAATCTTTACAGATGACAGCTTGGGGTGGGTGTGTGTGTGTTTTTGTGTGTGTGTGTGTGTGTGTGTGGTGTTAGGTTTATATTACATTAGGGGGACCAAAAAGGTCCCCCACAATGTAATACAAACCTGTTTTTTGACATTGTGGGGATCATTTTTCAGGTCCCCACAAAGTTATGTGAATGCAATAAAAAAAAGTAAATATTCCAAAAGTCTCATATTTTGTTTGGTTACTTATGTTTAAGGTTAGGGCTGGGTGGGTTTTAAGCTTGTCATGTTGGGATTAGAGTTTTACCCATAGAAATGAAGTCCCCATAAATATATAATTACAAACCTGTGTGTGTGTGTGTGTGTGTGTGTGTGTGTGTGTGTATGTGTGTGTGTAGTGAATATACCTACAAGTGCATCTTTTTTTAACTGTTGCCTTTAAGCAAAACAAAGATATACAACAGCTCTGGATAATCATAACCCTGTATGATAGCAGGTGGCACAGCATTCAGAGACAAAGCCCTGTAATTACGGTAACTGGTTCAAAAATCAGTAGGAGTCCCTCATTCTGAGCAAAGATCTCAATAGTCAGAACTGAATATCTTCAGTGATGTGTTCAGCTGCATGGATGGATACAATAGTACAACAGAACTGGATTAAGAATAATATGTCTGTTGGACTATTGCTAAGCATATTAAGATATATTGAAAGTTCTCAAACCTTCAGTCTACATGAAAAGACAGTATGGTGGCTCATTGGGTGGCACTGTTGCCTCACTCCTCCAAGGTTGGGGGTTTGAGTCCTTCTCCCAGTACCACGCAGGTCTCCTCCAACTCCAACTGCAGTCCAAAGACATACAGTCAGGCTAACTGGTTGATTAATTTGCTTTTTGTCTATGTGCCCAGTAATAGACTGGCATCCCATCCAGGCCCTATGCTGCCTGGGATAGACTCCAGGTGTTCTTGACCAAAATAAGTGCTTAGAAGATGGATGGATGGATGGATGGATGGATTGATAGATGAAAAACAAGGGACACTGACTTGCTGACAAGCATATGAAACAGTGAGTGTTGGTGTCTTATCACCTTGCTTTGTTTTTAGAGGTTACTGTCAGTAACGTCTGGAATTTGATGCCAGTCAGACAGAGCCTGGCCCTTGGGGGCAGAACACTGATCAATACCGACACGTGGACCAGAGCTCATGTAGTAGCATGTACATAATGGTTTAACGTACGAAATATGTATTTAAATAGCTTTTTCAGTTTTTTATTTATTTCTTTATTTCTTTTATTGTTTATTTATATTAATCAAATATAAATTAATCACAGTTTTTTTTTTTTTTAAAAATGAATCCTTCCATCCCTCCATCCCTCCAACACCACAGGGTCATAGTGTAAAAAACTCATCATAAAAATAAATCACTCTCTCATTGCTTCACTTGATCTCTATCTTTGAAGCAGTCTTGATTTTTCCCAAAAGAGAAACACAAAGGGAGTTTCTTGAACTCCAAGAACATACACATGGAATAAATAAGATCAAAAACTGGAGGAGTGGAGCAAGGAAGGGCACAGGCAACAAGAGGGCTCACCATCAATGACTGGACTGGGACTGATGAAATAAACAAAGACTAACGAGGGGCAACAAGCATCAAATGTGGCTCAGCTCATGGGGGCCACGTCAGGGAGGAGACGAGGGGGGGGGGGGGGTCAGGCGTGTGGGACGTGACACTCTCAAGGGCTTATTTACCGTCCTGTAGCAATGTGCTATGCTAAGTGTAATGTGAATAATTGGCTCATTGACTGATTGACTTTCTGATAGGATCGACGGGCAGTTCCACTGAGCTCCCTGTGAATGTACCCATGCCATATGTGGCTATCATTAATGTATGGGGCTCAGATTGTCCCAACAGGCATGGCTTATATGAGGGTCTAAGCCTTTCTCTCCTTAGGCCTTACAGCCAGAATTCAGAAGATGGAAGATTAAATGCGGACCTTATAGGGAGAGACAAAAGGGGGGGGGGGGTACAGGTGCCCTAACCTCCCCACCTTCAGAAGGGCATTATTTTGAATGCCCAGCTTGTGC